TGTGTGTGTGTGTGTGTGTGTATATATATATATATATATATAATTATTTTATATATATAGATATAATTCTAAATTTTCTCATTGATCCTGGTCTTCCTTGTGGTGGCGATATGTCCTCAGTCCCTTTTGTCATCTTTCACTGATGCTACCAAAACTTTCTCAGTGAACTGATATCCAACAAAGACTTAGTTGGATTTTTAGCAACTCTCCATAGTCTTTCACACAGCTCTAGGTAGGAATCAGATTTCTGATCAGCATAGATTTTAATTAGTCATTTAATCTCCAGTAAAATAAGCATAGTTAACATTAAAGACTTTAAAGGTTTTGTGCATGCTCAGTAATAATTTAGGGAGATGTTTAAGATTTAAATGTGATATTAAGCACTAGGTACCAGTATGTGGACAAGAGACCTTCATATATACGTATTGCAACTAAAATATATCTAATATAAATACTTATGCTGTAAATTAAAGGGCTTTCTTGAATGATCTGGTTTTAAGAACACACAAAATATTAAAGCCAAAGCTTTAAAAGCTGCTTCTTTTTTAAAAAGGTAATAAATGAGCATAATAAGGACAAATGGCTACCTGGTTCTGTCATACTGTTGATTTGGTCTTTCTGAATTCTAGAGAGACAGAATCCCCCTCTTGATTTTCCATCTTTACTCTTGTTATATCAGACTTGCTACATTAGATCAGACTATAAGTCATTGAAAGACAAGTATGGTCATTGGTAGGGGAGGAGTGGGCCCAAAGAGAACGAATTCTTTCCAGACTCTAGCAATTATAAGGTTACAGCCAGAAGCATGACACTTGAACCACAAACACACATGACATCAAATGTCGTTAAAGAAAATGAAGGTTTTTATACCCAACTTCATCATTTCCAGTCTTTACATCCAGGAAGCCTAGAATAGTTTTACGTACATTAAATGAACATCACACTCCGCTTTAGAGGTAGAAAATGTTGTTAGGCCCATAAAGTACAGATTTGTCCAAGTTTACATGTCAAATTAGTGGCTGAGCAACCTGATTTAGGCCTGCATGCTCCATGCGGCTGTGTGGGGCTTGCTCCACATACAGATAGCAGATCAAGCAGTTATATTATCATATCCACATCATCTCAGTTTCTGCTGCTAACCACCCACACAGACTAGCAGTCTTGTGCTTTGCTTCTAGTGTCCTCCTCTGTGCATGGTTATAGAATGAGCTCTGTGATATGCATTCACCAAGGAGTTGCATCTGACTTCCTAGTCTCTTGGCCCAATCACAATAGGCCACTGAACCTTATGAAGAGATGTGTGTTTTACAATCAGCCAAGGCATGTGGTGGGGGAGGGAGGAGGAAGTCAGGAGAGAGGGAAGAATGGTTAGTCATGAAGAAAGCAGATATGAAGTATATTAACAACACTTAATTTATGGCCATTAACAAAACTTAACTTTATGGCCAGGCCACCTAAGTCTCCTGCTCTAAACATACTTGCTTTATTCACTCTTTTCCTTCTATCTGCCATCACATTTCTCATTTCCCTTGAGTTACTCAAAGTTCTCTATAGTTCTTTTTGACTGGGACTTCATGCTATCAGCAAACATCACTGGCTCTCAATCATTTCCTCCTCCAGATCAGAAACACATGTTCAAAAACAACCCAACTAGTAACCTCTCTACATTGTGAGGAGCAGCCATACACTCCAGCTGTGTTTTATTTATTTTAGTACAGGTCCTGCACTCCCTCCTAGCAGGGATGTTGAAACCCATAATATCATAATACTTCCTTTGCATCTGACTACCTGCAACTCCTATGTGAAGACAAGACTCTGATATTTCTCAAAGGGTTAGTCCATATAAGCTACCAAAAAGGTCCTACTTTATCACTGCAATTTGATTCAGTATAAAGATTAGCAAAAAACAAAACTAATGCTGTGCATCAATTCTGATACTTTATTTAAAGTGTGAAGCACTCCAGAAACTCCTCATCAAAACCCATCTGATTGTTATGGTAGCTGTTGGTGGTGGTTTGTTTAAAATCTCCCTAACATTTATCATTAGCCTCTATTGGGGCTGGATGCTTACAAATTGTAAAGCTCTACTTTCTCATCTGGCCATCTGGGGCCTGCAACACACCAGAAAAGAGGCCCCATATGTTTTTGTGTTATCCACAAAGTATCTGTTGTTCTAGGAGCTAATGTCAGAAATCATCCGACAATGAAAAAGTCCATTACCGGAGAGCAGGATTGTGCCCACAGTCCTTGCAAATAAACAACACTACAGCTGTTCACTTAACTGTTATGAAACAAATTTACAAAATCTATGCTCTGATGGTCTCATAGAAAAGTAAAGGGCTTTGCATACTTTCTACTTACTGAGGAATATCTACAGTTATTAATCAAGTTACACAACCTTAGCAAGTGCATGGAGTTATTTCATAATGTGAAATTAGTAGCAAATTATTTGATCAATAAATTAACCACATGAAGAGGTGGAGGGCAGATAAACTAACTATACCAAGTTAAAGACAGGAGGGGGGATATTATGTCTGCCACTTGCTCGATGGTAGCAGTTTTGTGCTGCTTTATTCCACTATTTCATAGTTTCATAGTTTCTAGGGTCGGAAGGGACCTGAGCAGATCATCAAGTCCGACCCCCTGCCATGGCAGGAAAGAGTACTGGGGTCAAACGACCCCAGCAAGGTGTTCATCCAGCCTTGTCTTAAAGACCCCCAGGGTAGGAGCCAGCAACACTTTGCTTGGAAGTTGGTTCCAGATCCTAGCCGCCCTGACCGTGAAGTAGCGCCTCCTGATATCTAGCCTAAATCTACCCTCTGCCAGCTTGTGACCGTTATTCCTGGTCACTCCTGGTAGTACTCGGGGGAACAGGGACTCCCCCAATGCCTGCTGATCCCCTCTGACTAGTTTGTAACAGACCACTAGATCCCCCCTCAGCCTTCTCTTGTGGAGGCTGAACAGGTTCAGGTCCCTGAGCCTCTCTTCGTAGGGCCTGCCCTGCTGCCCCCTGATCATGCAAGTGGCCGTCCTCTGGACCCTCTCCATGTTGTCCACATCCCTCTTGAAGTGCAGCGCCCAGAACTGGACGCAGTACTCCAACTGCGGCCTGACCAGTGCCGCATAGAGGGGGAGTAATTTAACTTTCACAATAGGTGAAAGTTAAACCATGGGTGACTAAGCAGCTGCTTCATTCAGAGGGTAAGATGGCCCATTTGTTAAAAAAGGCCAGGTACAGATATTCAAAAATCCTGAGACATAATGGATCTAAGTTATGTGGTTTTTCTTAAGCAGTGTAGTCTAGATTGGTAGTGAGCAGAACATGCATGTGCCCTTTGGTTGGGGGTGGAGGTGGGGAGACAGGTACATTTTAGACCTGATTCCACCATGTTTAAACCAGTCTGTGTATGCCAAATGTCTGTTCTGTTACGGATATAAACTGGTTTCCAATCACTTATACTGGTAAAAGTATAATGGCCAAAGAATAGTATAAATAGTAGAGCAGGAGACTGTTTGGATCCCAGATATGTTGCTGGCTAAATTCTTGACCTTTGGAAATTCACTTAACTCCTGTCTCTCACCTGTAAAATTGGGATAATACTTTGTAGGGATGTTGAGAGACTTAATTAAGATGTTGCAAAGCCCTTTGAGAATTTTACTTGTCACTCCATCTTACCATGAATCAGAACGTTAGAGCAACAGCATGACTGAGAGCGTGATGGAAGCACAGTAAAATGAGCCAAAATACAGTTATAAAAAGCCAAAGCTCTTCCCAAGATAGTCTAGCTTTTATTAGTACATCAGTATTAGTCTAATTCACTGGCACCAGTTTCTCCCAGCACAACTGAGATAGCAACACAGACTAGAGGAAACTGAATGAGGCAGTACTGAGAAAACTACCGGATTTGGAAATTTGGCAGGTGAGCAGTGAGAACTTCTAAAACTAGTTAGTTAATCATAATCATAATGGCTTTGAAACAGTAGCAGCGAGCACACGACCTTTCACTGCTTTCAATGATGTGATCAATTTTTACCTTCAAAGGTTTGTAAAGTGACAAGCTAGATGATTGCACTAAGTGTTCCAGCTAGCCAACTCCAAATTAGATAATAAGAACCTGCCCTGGGCCATCCAACCCAGCCACACCACTTACAGGTGCCAATGGCTGTTTTCTCCTAATGGAATTTTCCCCTCTGGCTGCTGGAGAGAGTAGACAATTCTCCACACCCACTTCACTCTCTTCCCTCGCTGCTGATAAATGATCTGGAACTAATATGCACATACTAATATTCCCTTACCTGCCTGTCGGGAGGGATGGGAGCCTTTATTTTTCTGCTCTCCTCAAGGGATGGATGTGTGTATATGTAGGAGGAGAGGATGAAGAGGGGAGGGGTGATGCACTTTTTTCCCTCTCTCTTCTCTGCGTATGTGGAAATACCCTAGTCTTTCCCAGTCTCTTTGTAGACTTCTAGAGGGACATGCTCAACTGAACTGGGAAACTAAGGCAGTGAGCACAATAAAAATAAATGAATACAAGCAGTTTGTTTCCAATAAAAGGTTGGCTTCTGGGCTCTAGGGGATATAGAAAAGGGCAAGAAATCTGAACCCAAAACATGTAGGGGTCACAGCAGCAAG